TCCAGCACCGGCCGCTGCAGCGAGACCACGCCGGTGTAGGCGTTGAGCCGGCGCGTGCCGAAGTAGCCCTCCTCGTTGCCCCGGGTGATGGTCAGCGAGATGGTGTCGCCCGTGAAGGCCGGCGCGGGGCCGATGCGGAAGATGTGCGCGGGCACCAGCAGGCCGGTCTGGAAGTTGAGCTGGTAGTAGGTGATGCGCGCCGGCGAGCTCTGGCACTCCCCCAGGTCGTGGCACGCCGTGCGCTCGCACTTCCTGCGGGGCGGAGAGCGGGCCCTGGTTGGTGGACGGGGCTTGTGGGGTGGGGCCTGCTCACTGGGAGGGGCCTGGTTGGCTGACAGGGCTCTGTAGGCGGAGCCTCCTCAACAGACGGGACTCTAGGGTCCAGATTTGTGGGGTGGGGCCTGGTCGGTGGGTGGGGCTGCGTGGGCGGGGCCCGGCCGGACGGCGGGGCTAAGCGGGTCCCACCCCTGGAGCAAACGGACAGCCTCGCCCCGCATCCACAGCGCTCCTAACAGCCCCATGGGCCCCGTGTATAGACAGCAGGAGGCACAGTCCTACTCATCCCTGTCCTTCCATCCTTCTGACCCTTTCTCCTTCCTCCCTCCCGCCCATCCTCCTGCCTGCTGCACCCACGCCCTGCCCGGTCCCCTCAGGCTCCCTCTGACAGCGCTTAGCTGTGTGGCCCGTGGCAGAACCCATGCGCAGTCACCTCCAAGGCTAGCTGAGGTTAAAGGACTGTCACTCGCTCTTCCGCCAGCTCGCTTTACACTGGGGGACGCGGGCCACAAGCTCCCCCTGGAGAGGCCCAGAGGCGTGGAGGGGCTGAGCCTCCTGCCCAGAGCCATGAGAGCAGGTGGGTGGGACCCCCAGGCCCCTAGTGGCTCCTGAAGATGGTGCGGCCCCTGGAAACAGCCAGTGACGCTGCTCACGTGTTCACCGCCTGAAGATGCCAAGTGTCGGAGAATTCCTTACGCAGCAGATGATGGGTTTACTGTGCGTGCGTGTGCGTGCGCGTGCACACGCGGGAGCAGGGCAGGAGTTGGTCAAGGCGGGGCCCTGTCACCTGGCCGGGCAGCATGGGCGCAGGGCGGGGTCCCGGGGTCCCTGCCCGGGTCGGGGCACTCACGTTTCAGATACTCGGACGTAGTTGGGAGGGCACTCGAAGCGCAGGCAGCGGAAGCTGCCCTGAAGGTTGTGGCAGGTCTCAGCCTCAGAGCAGTTGTGTGTGCCCAGTGCACACTCGTCCAGGTCTGGGGAGCAGAGGGGAGGTGAGGGGGGGCCCCAGGGCCAGGATAGCCCAGCCTGTACAACTCATCCTGGCTTTGGGAATGTGGCTCCTGTGCCACTCCGTACCACGCTGTGTCCAGACATCCCCCAGGGCCTCATGCGGCCATACGTGGGGCTTTTCAGAGGTGGCTGGGTCTAGGGCGTGACGCTGAGACGGACCCAGAGCGATCCAGGGTTAGGGGTGTGTGTCACAGCCCTGCGCTAAGCCGGTAGCCTCACCAGAGTATGAAAGGGGCAGAAAGAGGCTGCGATGGCTGCTTGTGCCTTGTGGCTTTGCTGGCTTTTGCCTGCTGTGAACTGATTCTCCCCTGCGGTGCCCCCTGCGTGGAGCTAACTATGAACTGAAACCTCACTGCCCTGACTGTGGGTGTCGGGTTATTTTGTCTCAGCAAAGTAAAGCAGCCGGATCTCACTGTCAGCCGTGCGGCCTTATTCCTACTCCCATGGCTTCTCTCTGCTCTTGAATGAAACCCAAGTGCCTCCCGAGGACGCCAAGCCCTGGCCCACCCTTCCACGTAGCTACAGCACTGCTGGACACCTCCGTCCTCCGCCCCAACACCTGACCGGACCTGCACCCGGGTCTGTACGGACGCTACCGCTTCTGCTGGGACACTCTGTAAACACCTTCCCCAGCTGGCTCTTCGGTGGGGCTGGAGGTGGAACCCAGGGCCCCATAGACACCGGGTAACTGCTCTACCCCTGGTCTACACCTCCAGCCCTTAAAAAATTATTTTTACCTTGAGATAGGGTCTTAAATTGCCCAGTCTAGCCTTAAACTTGAAATCCTCCTGCCTCAGCCCCCAGAGTAGCTTGGATTATAGGCATGGGCCACTACTCCTGGCTTCTTATTGCTCGGGCCTCCTGCCTCCCCTGCCCTGGTCCTCCTCGCCCACGGCCGCCATCCTGCGCTGCGTGTTCAATCATCCCAGACTGCTCAGCCCTCTGGAGCACACCGCAGATGCCCCGCCCGAGTCTCTCTCACACTTCCTGTGAACTCACAGAACCGACACGGCCCAAGCACACCCACACAGTGACCAGACACGCAGATGCACACTCCGGGAAGGTGTGTCCACACGAAGCCCAGAGAAGCAAGTGTGTTCGTAAGCTTGGATTGTGGGTCCTCATGACTCCCCTGGGGGGACAGGCTGCCCAGCCGTGAGCAGGAGCCCCACTGGTCGTCAGCGACACCCTCTACGGCTGCGGTTTGTTTTCCTACTGGCCCTGCACGGATTTCTCCTCTCTCAGTCCTCAAACCAGCCCTGTTATCCACAGGCCACCACTCTGCCGAGGCATGGGAGGGAACAGAGCCCAGAGAGGGACACAGTCTTGGCCCAGGTCACACCGCGGTCAGCAGGACAGCTGGGCTGGAAGCAAGGTCTGCTTTGATGCTAAAGGTGGCGCATATGTCAGATGCCAGGCTGGCTCCTAAAGGTGGTATCAGAGCAGCGACCCCACCAGCCAAGTGGGGGACCACCTGCCATCACCTGTGTCCCCATGGCCATGGGCCCTCAGGTCCTCCTTCGGGGCGGCAGGGATTAGCTCCCTCCCCGGGCCTCACTTTGCTCCTCTGTGAAAAGGGTCACCCTCCCCCCTCCCCAGGGTGGCTCCCAGTAGATGGGGGACGTGGGGGGATGCAGCCCAGCCAGGAGGCTGCTTCCTGCAGATGGTCACTAGTGAGTCCTCGAGATGATAGGGCCTCTCCTGCTCCCCCACCTCCTTGCCTCTGCCCTGGGCCTGTGTGGACGGAGACCCTCAGAACTGGGTGCAAAGCACTGTGTGTGAGGACCCGACTTTCCGGCCACCCCAGGCCTGTGCCACCAGGCTCCTGTGTTGGGATTTGGAAAGGCCGGCGTGGGCAGGACAGCCCTGCAGCCAGGTGACAAAGAACATGGGGACAGAGGGACACTGCAGAACGCAGCTCCCAAAGCAAAGGCTTTCTCAGGCCTAAGAAAATGCTCACCATTTCCAGAGAGCACTCCACTACTATTACAAACACACAGCACCGACCCTGGGTATCAGCCAGCGCGCAGCCCCAGGGCCGGACAGACCCCTGGTCACCCTACCAGGCAGGACCTCGGCTCCAACTGCTTCCAGTGCCACAGCCCGTGCGAGCCCTGCCCATTGCCGTCACACTGCAGGGCTCAAGAGCCGGCATCTAACCCTGAGGCAGCCTGGGCTACACCGGGTGAAGAGAAACTGTCCGGGCCACACAGCAAATCCAGAACAGACGCTTACGAGTAACCAGGCTTCCGTTATGCCACAAAATAACACGAGTCCAAGTGTAATAGTGAAATGGAAAATTTGTCTGCGTAATCACAGTCAGTGCCTGTCTTCATGGGCACACACGCAAGCGAGCTGAGACACTCGCTGGTCACCGCCGCGCGTCACCTGCAAAGCTGCATGGCTATGTGCTACATCGGACCCACCGCATTCCCATTCAACCGTGCTTGGCAGGCACAGGACGCGGGACTAGCACAGCACCGTGCCCCTGCCTGTGTGCATTCACCTGTGGAGTCTGCCCTTGAGGACAGCACCACAGGCTCATACAATAGCTGGGCATGGCAGCACATGCCTATAATTGCCTATAATCGTAGCACTCTTGGAGGCTGAGGCAGGAGGATTGCAAGTCTGAGCCCATCCTAGAAATGTAGTGACTTAGCAAGACCGTGTCTCAAAATGGGAAGAAAAAAATTAAAAGGGGACTAAGGATGTAGCTCAGTGTGAAGGACCTGGGTTCAATGCCCAGCACCACCACCAAGAGAAAAATCACATGCTGTTAAAAGTTTACAACCACATGGGGCTACATTACTAGCTGTCCCAGGCCACATGTCCTGTGGCCACAAGGCTGGACACCCCTGGTTTAGGGAGTGATGGTAAGGAAAAGTCCACATCTGTGCACTGGAGGGGCGGTTTCTATTTTCAGGATTATTTTGAACCCACAGTTGAATCTGCAGATATGAGACCTGAAGATACACAGGGCCAACTCTGTGTGTGTGTGTGTGTGTGTGTGTGTGTACAGCAACATTTAGCAGCAGCTCCTGTCCATTCAGCACCTCGGCCCAGCATCCTGACCAGGGTATGGCTCTAAATGAGGAAAGCAAGACAGGCTCTGCCTCAGGGGTGCATACTCTACAGACAAGGCTGAGGGGACAGCGCCTTCCTGCTTCTCCGTCCTGTTTGTGACCTTGAAGGGTGCTCCCGAGGTCACACATGCTCCCTGTGGCCAGCATCCCCTCCTCCTCCCCGTAGAACCTGGCACCCCAGGGTCCAGTCTGGGTCCTCAAAAGGCCAGAACACCGAAGGCACAGCTGCTTAGCTTCACAGGTTCTGGGAGTGACTCAGGACTCAGATGGACCCGGGGCCGGGCTTTCCCTGAGCCCATGGATTACGCAGCAGAGGCTGCGCATCCAGGGAGCCCACGGCAGCTTCCAAAAGGTAGACACTGAGCCGCCACTCATATGAGTGCACGCAGGGCCTCAGGACTTAGTTTATCCCTGCTTTTTTCCCACATCCACCTCCAGTGAGGACCAAGTACACACCATGAGGACCGAGCGACACTTACACACCAGGCCCGCTGGAAGATGCCAGGCTTCGCTCTCCCATCCCATCCTGCATTCTAATTCAATGGCCGAGACCCCCAACTTGATCTCAGGACCCTTGGTAGGAGCACAGACACCTGAAGTATGCGGTCTCAGATCGCTGTGGCCCTAACTCTGTCCCCTGATCTGACCAGCGGCCTCCAGGCTCTGTGCAAGTCTGGAGGGACGCATTCCCAGAAGCCAGGTGGAGGGCAGGTATTTTGTGTGCCGGGGGGCTCAGTGGCCAGTTCTTCGACAGTTGATGCCTGTCCTGCACCCAAGTTTAGAGGACAACGGCAAAAAAGACGGCCATGACTCTTCAAGGTCACGAAGCCTGGTCCCTCCAGGGATGGAGTCCCCTCTACTGCAGATCAGACAGGAGACTGCCCGGCCCCAACCTGCACGTCCCCTGGAATGGGGTCCCTTCCCCACACAGGCCTCCCTGGGACCCTCTCCCCTCGTCCGAGGGGCCCACCCCCTACCCCGTCCCTGGACAGCACTTCAGAGACTCAGGAATGGTGACTGAGGCCCCAGCCCTCCCTGGAGAGTCCCCGGCCTCATTAGCACCCCCGCCGTATCCTGCCCACCTCCCAGGGAAGGCAGTGTGCACCTGGGAGATCTGAGCACTGCGGGCACAGGGAATTCTGCATCCATTCACAGTGCTGTGCTCCGAGTGCCCAGCAAACCGTGTGAGGACCACGGCGCCCCGGTGGCGGCCACCGCTTACCCTTGCAGGACCTGCCGTTGGCCATCATGGTGTAGCCCTGCTCCGGGCATGCGCACTGGTAGCTCCCGGGCACGTTGAGGCATCGGAAGGTGCACAGCATGGCGGCAGCCTGTGCACACTCATCGATGTCTGCGGAGAGGGGGTCGCCGCTCACTGAGGGCCTCGTGCACCTGCACGACCCCAGCCCGCCACAGACAGCCTGTCCCCGTCACAGCCACGACTCCCACTCCCGTGCTCTCCACGGCTTTGATCCACAACCGCTTCCCGCAGCGGGGGCCGGTCTCGGGCCACACACCCTGACCGCACACCCACCCGACCCTGGCGGAGGAGAGGAGCGCCCACCTCTGCAGGTGTGCCCATCTTCCGCCAGCTGGTAGCCCTGGCGGCAGTAGCACTGGTAGGAGCCGTAGATGTTGGCACACTCTTGGCTGCAGCGCTGGGTCTCACACTCGTTCACATCTGTGGGGACACCGGGCGGTGGTCAGGGTGGGGTCCTCACAGCCCAGAGACGAGGCTCACGCCCCAGCTTACATGCGGCTGCGGCCTTGTCTCAGGAGAACTACAGTTCCAGCCAAGCTCAGGCACCAGTGGAGAACCAGCTGCCCCCAAAAGGACAGGGGCATGGGTAGAGGCAGTACAGTACCGGGAAAGTGACGATCACAGCGGGGCTCTCCCTGCCCGAGGGTACTGTGTGGGCACAGCACCGGGCACAGATGGCTCTGGGTGGTGTCACACGCGGCCAACTTGGACTCAAGGCCTGGGGCCCCCTGCTGCCTGGTCGCCCGGGCTGGTACATGGGAGAGGGTGCAGTGACTGTGTGTGTGTGTGTGTTTGTGTGTGTGTGTGTGTGTGTGTGTGTGCGCGCGCAAGGGGGAATTAACCAAGGGCTTAGAAAAGCAGAGAAAGGCTCAGGAGTGTGCTGGGTGGGCTGCAGTTTCAAGAGAGCAGTCAGAGAGGAAACCTTGGTGGGGCTGTGGGAGGCGGGCCTTCCCGGTGGAGGGCAGGGCCCGGCGCCTGCAGCGCAGAGGCCCGAGGAGGGAGCGTGCCTGTGCTCTCGGAGCAGGGCAGAGGCCGGTGTGGCTGAAGTTTGAATCCATCTGTGACATGCACACACCACTCAGTTTTCTACAAATATGGATATTCTGGCTACCGGAAAGCCACGAAGAGGAGGCTGCTGAGGGAGGACCTGAATGCTGGGCGGCAGATGAGGGTGCCCCATGGCCACCACCCACTTCCGTGGCCCCTGCTCTTAATCCCTTCTCTGCCTCTGCAAACCTGGCTTCGGTTCCCCTGCCTGCAACTCCTTTCACCTGCAGTGTGTGCGCCCAGGTCAGCCCCAGGATAGGGATGCAGAAGCCTGAGGCCAGGGCTGAGGTCAGAGGTAGGGTGGGCGGGGGCTATAGACCAGAGTGGGCGGGGAAGTCGACCGGGTGGGGCGGGGCTAGCGGCCTGGTCCCCCTTGTGGGCGGGGCCAGAGGCAGTACCTTCGCAGTGCTTGCCATCCGCGGCCAGCCGGAAGCCGCTGGCACAGGAGCAGCGGTAGGAGCCCAGCGTGTTCTCGCACGTGTGCTGGCACAGCCGGCCCGGCGAGGTCCAGCACTCGTTCACATCTGCGGAGGGGTCGGGTAGCCGTGGGCACTGGGTGGGCGGCGCAGGGAGGGTGGAGCTCACCCGAAGCCCTTTGCCCACCCAGGTCCACCCAGGCAGAGAAACACGTAGGGATGGGGAACACGGAGGGAACAGGGAACAGGCAAAGAGGCACTGAGACTGCGGCCCAGAGGAGCAAAGACCCAGGGGGGTGCCCAGCCGCAGGGAGAAGCCTGCAGGAGGCCCAGCCCGGAGCGGCAGCAGGGTCTAGGCCA